CTCGCGGTGCTTGCTGTAAAGAGAAAGCGAGCACACAGACTCCAGTTGCTGCTCCGGTGCCCAGGTTGCATTTATGTCCGGGTCAGTCGATGTGGTTCATGACTCCTACAGGCCTGGTCCAGCTTTCACAAGCCCCGTCCCAGGGCCTGGAGATGGCGGCAATAAACACTGTCCCTCCTTCCCCAGGGAGTAGTTTAAACCGACACACAGCCACATCACCTGTCCAGCTCGCCACCAGAGGCCTGCGGCCAATTGCACCTAAACTGTCCTCTGGGCCTGTACCGATAACCCTTCCAAATCAACCTCACCCACTTCCTGAGCCACCCGTTTGTAACCCAAGGCCTCTCGCCCCACCCTCAGTGCAGCCATCTGACCTAGACCATGGTCTCTACTCCCTCCCTTTTTGTCCCCCGCGGTCTTCCACTAACTTCTCACCGTTGGGCACAGTCAGAGTGGATGCCCCACAGTCCAGGCCACTGAGGAAGGAGGTGCTGGAGATCGACCCCTCTCTTATGTTCGTGGAATCCCCAGCAGCCATAAATGACTGGTTAAGTGGGTCAGGAGGGGTGGTAGTACCAGGATTGAGCTTGTCCCTGCCCTACCTTCCACCCTTTGTCAGCAATCTGAGCATGCTCAGTAGATTGCTTTGTGCCAAGAAGTCCCTAACCAGGTCGTCCCTGCAGCTGGTGCGTGAGGGCAACAAATCCAGATGGCCCCAGACCAATTCCAAGCCTGACAGCAGCACAAAGAACGGCTCCAATGACCCTCCGCCTCAACCTCCACCAGACCTGCCGGACTCCACCTCAGACATCACACCCGCCGAGAAACACCCAGGTAACACACCATATGACCCGACAGCAGGTGGTGTCTCCTACGCTCTAAATTCTGTTGATAAAATATTAAGTGCTGGATGTTTAATAATTGGCAGTTTCCTCCAGAGACTTCAGGTTGTTCTGTTTGTTTGTGTCTCCCTGCAGCTTCCCCCGCAGCCACCCCTGTCAGCTCTGACCACCTGGAGCAGCAGGAGAAGAATGAGGAGGAAGAGGAGGAGGAGCTGGTGGCAGCAGTGCGTCAGCTGGTAGCTGAGCGTTTCTCAAATAATCCTGCCTACCAGTTGCTGAAGGCACGCTTTCTGTCTTGTTTTACTCTCCCCGCACTCCTGGCTACCATGCCACCAGTCCCAAAGGTTGAAGCCTGCCAGACCAATCAGGAAGAGGAGAAGGAAGAGGAGGTGGAGGAGGAAGGAGAAGAAGAAGTGGAGCTAAGGAAACTCAAAGAAATGGCAAAACTGAGGAGAGCTGAGGTGAGTTGCGTAGGTTATTCAGATATAACTTCTGGTTATATCACAGTAACACTGACTCTGGCAGCATTCAACTTACTGTGGGCACATATACGGTCATTTGGGAAACAAATTGTTAGCCCCAAATGCCACAAATTCGAGTTCTTCTCTGTAAGGTTTCTATACTTTTATCACATGATAGCAGAAATAGCCAGTTTCTTTATGTAGAAATCTGTCTAAATCTAAAGCAGGGATTTCAAACTAATTTTACATAGTGGGCCATATATAGCCCACTTTGCTTTTAGGTGGGCCGGACCAGTGAAACTAATTTGGTATTGTGTGGATAATAATTGGGGGTCTTTATCAATAGGAAAAGCTGTAAAACTCCTCCTAACATCCCTGATCTAAAGGGGAAAAACAAAGAAAAGGATGGAAAAAGAACCTCATTAGTTTCAGTGTGGAAGTTGATGAAAGGACACAAGCTAAAGCAGCAGTGATGCTGTCATTTTGGCTGTATTTGCATGTAAAATGATCACTGAGTGAGAAAGTGCCCTCTGTGCCTCACCAGAATAGAGGGAAGTTAGTGTGACTCACATTTGAGTATATTTTTCCTTGCGTGTCTGAGACAGAGAGGTGAAATAAGAAAGTGAATGTCATGCTGGCCACGTAATCCAGGCTGCGATAGCTCAAGTGTATTTAAAATAGGACCATGATAAAAACAAATCTGTGACTATATAGTACTAACAAAATGAACCAAAAAATGTAATTAATAGCAGTAATGGTTATTTTAGGAGTCACATAGTTGTAATTCTGCTGTTCATTAACTCTGGATTTCTGTAGAAAACACTGAAAATACAACAGCTGAGCAAAAATAATTCAATGTGGGTAACCCTGCAGTGACTCACACAGTCGTGAAGTCTGATCACATCAAAATCCTGTGGTTCAGTAATCAGAACAGAGGCACAAACACACTGAGAAATTTTTGTTTTTGTCCACAGAAATCACTGCAGCTGCTGTGTGACAGCTCTGGAGCTTCAGCCAGTCACTTTTCAGGGATCACAGATGTCACCAGACCCACGTCGGACCAGACCTGACCAGACGAGCAGAAACTAAAGAAAACAGAAAAGGCACTTTCTGGGGAAAATGTGTTCATCTATACATTCAGGTCACATGTTCAGTTCCTCAGGTGAAAATGACTTTAGTATGTAATCGTTTATACATCTGTTTTTATATCTATGAAAACACTTTCCTGGGCGACTTCACAAACAGATACAATGTTCTGTTTTATTAGGTGCATTCAGGGACCCTCAAAATGCAACTTTTGAGTGCAGTGATGATGTTTGGAAGAGTTGGTTTTCTAAGAATGGGAAGCTTAGTTCTTACAGACTGAAGTGAGACTGATGTCTTTATAAAGGATGACTGTGGTCGGCAGGGAGTAAAAGGAACTGAGTGTTAGTGTTGAATATGTGTAGCAACTTAAGAATGAGTTCAAAACTCACTAAATTGCACTAAAAAATGTTTTTTTTGGTTTTGTTTTTTTGCTGCTGCTGCTGCTGCTGCTGAAATTTTTCAGCTTCTGTACACAAATGTTGTTTTATTTTCGAATAAAAAGGTTTGTTTGGAATGAAAAAGCATCTGTGTGTGTGCGTGCCTGTTATTGGAGACAGTGAGGACATGTCTTTTTGCCTCCTGTTTGTGAAATCTGCTGTGACTCTTAGACTTTCATTACTTCTTTTACATGTCCTTGTGTTGGTAAAATTTCAAGACTGAGAATTCTGCTGTGGCACAACTTCCTGTTTCAGTCAGATGATGCTTCCTGTTGGCTGGGAGTGATTCCCCTTCAGACTTCTCTAATCCTTCACTTCTTCCTCTTTTGCATATTTAACACTATAGAGAACTAAAGCTTCTGTCCATCTGTAATCTTTTTTTGTCATGTGGTTTAGGATTTGGACACACAATTTTATATGCACACTCGTAAGCTAACATTAAAACCACCCATTTAATATCATATAGGTCCCCCCCCCATGTCTCCAAAAGAGCTTTGACCCATGCCCAGAGAAGGGCTCAATAGTGTGTTCCTCCAGCCTCTGCTCAGTTTGGGGGGGGGCTTTGGGAGACCACAGATGTTGAGGGGGGCCACATTATCATAGAGAATAGTGATTGGTCTGCAGCAATGTTTGGGTGGGTGGTAGATGTCAAGACTCGGGTTTTCACAACAGAAAACGAAATTATTACAAGGAGGGGGGGAAAAGGCAAATTAAAAAATGATTAATAATGTTCACTGACTTTATTGAAAAAAGCACTTGTTGCTATCTAACATTCACACTCTGATCAACACATCAGGGCTAACTCAGGGTTCAGCCCAAGGATACTTTGGCATACAGATTGGAGCTGCCAGAAAATGAACTGCTAACCTACTTATAGACTATTTGTTTAAAAGAGTGCAGAAACAAGTCCGCTATGTACAAATGTAAGAGGTGAACTGCCAGAGGTTAAAAAAAAAGTAAGGTTACCCAAAAAAAAAGTACTTTTAAGAATTAACAATGGAAGAGAGACCGAGACAGACCATCATAACACGTCTAAAAATGTAGGTCTGTCCTACAGAAAACTTGCAAAGAAAGTGTATGCCACAGGTGGCCAATTTGAGTCAAAAGTTTAGAATACATTTTGGCCTATAAATTAATTCCATGATTTCTTTTTTCACTCTAATTGCATATTTGTATTATGCTTTCATTTCAGAGTGCAATGAGACATTAAACAGCATAATTTTTTAATAACAAACTGGAAAAATTGGGATTTTCTAAAACTTTTGACCGGTGGTGTGTATATAACAAAAGTAATGATTTTAAACAGCATTTTTTATTTTATTTTTTAAACAAATAGCAATTAAGATATTTTGATAAGATACATTACTATATTTAAAAAGTTGGGAAATTTGGGATTAATTAAAAAAGATCAATGCTCATTATCTTGCATGGTGGTCAGATAGTGTGCACTGTCACTTCACAACAAGAAGCTCTGAAGATCTTGGCCCTTTCTCCGTGTACCTGCGTGCACATTGCTTCCTCTCTCAGCTTCCTCCCACATTATAAGAATTTGGATCCATTTATTAAAACAGTGGTAAAGTGCTGAATAATTGTCTAATCAAATCCATTCATGTCGAAGTGAGGCAAAACAGGTCATTTGCACGCATGCAGGAAGCTTTACTTTACTTCTCCACATTGCACTTACACATCCACTCTTGTGGTAACCTTATCAGCCAAATCCTACTTTAACCACTCATGACAGGTAAAGTAAGTCAATAAATTTTAAAAGGTTGATAGAGTGTAACTCAATAAGAGAAAAGTCACTCAAAAGAAAAGAGCTCAGTTTTTGTTTTTGTTTTTTAAAAAGTAAATTTAAAGGAGCTTACTAAGTAAAAGTATTGGTTTTTTTAATCTAATGAAATGGTTTTATAAACTTAAATAGAATAATATAATAAAAAAGTGTCTTAAATTATAGAATAAAAGTAGACACAGTGACCATGAGATGATGTTAAAGTTGGAAAGCATTGTGAGCATTACTGATGTTATAAAGTATTACCCAAGCAGAATGTGGACAGTCAGCTTGATCAGAAAGCTCAGTGCTAAACAGCTGTGACCTGATTGGTGTATTCAGATGAGCTGGAATCAGTCAGTTCAGAGTCAGTTAAATGAGGCGGGGACTGACAGTAAAACAAGAAGTGACCTCAACGATGTGTTCAGAAAATCAGAGGCAGATAGAGAGAAGCGGGTGTGTGGGACCAGTGTAACCAGCGTACTCAGTGTAGTCCTCAGTGTGCACAGTGGTGTGTTGTGTAGTGTGTAACGGCACGATGGATGGAGTGAGTGAGGATGACCTCTGTTGGCTCCAGCTGGATGACTTCAGGATGCTGCTCATCAAAACTATTGATCCTTCAAGAATCACCCCCTACCTCCGCCAGTGTCAGGTATGCTCTTGCTCCTGCTTCTTCTTCTTGCTACTCTCCTCTCTGTTCCTGTGGTTGTTGCTCCTCTTCCTTCCTTTCAGGTGGTGATAGGTTCATGTGTGGTCAACCTTATCAGGTAATCAGTGCTGAGGATGAAGAGCAGCTCTTCAATGACCCGGCGCTTGTCATCAGGAGGCGTAAAGTTGGTACGTTTTTTTTTTTGTTTTTTTAAACATACCAGATTGAAGCCAGTACAAACCTTTCAGTTAGTCCAGAAAGGCCTCCACGTGAACCTCCTGATCCACAAGGAGGAAAAAAACACAAAAAAAACACAGCAATGTTTAATTAATTCATCTGAAATCTGGGTTCATGTAACTGCTGGGGAGAAGTAAATACTTGAAAAATTTAGCTGAAAGCACACATCTTCACTGTTCATCCTTTATACTGTCTATGAGTAAGATGAGTCTTTAAAACACATTCATAAATTACAAACGTCTCCTGGCGGAGAGGTCTAATTCAGTGACTTCCCATCAGCCTAGCTTACTTCTATCAGTAAAGCTGTATGAGACAAGATCAGAAATGTCTTAGAAACAAGACAAAGAGAGTTCTCACTCAGTGGCTGCTGCGTGTGGTCAGAATGGTCTAAAATACTAGGAAGTTGTAACAGTGTGGTTCCTCTACACCTTGGCAGGGTGTTGTTGACATTAGTTGGCAAACCCACTTCCAGAGTTTTTCTGTTAAAAGAAACTGTAAGCATTTACTTAATCGGTTAGGTCATCATGAACAAAAATTAATTAGAAAAAAACAACCAAAAAGAAAACAACAGAGTGCGCATAACCTCACCAAATATAGATATTCATGGTGACATCTGAGTCACAGAAGTCAGACCATACTCACTTAGATTATGCCCCGTTCATGTTTAAAGAAGTGTTTGGTTGCCGTTGTTGTTCTTATACATGTCAACGTGGCCAAAACGGTCGCAGTGACTCGCTGACCCTTGGTGTCCCTATATAGATAGCACCATTATATATCAGCGTAATGAGTCTTGCATCCGCTGACCTTTGTTGTAACCTTTAATCTGTAGGGGCCCTACTGGACATTTTGCAGCGAACGGGAGTCAAAGGTTACACAGCTTTCCTGGAGAGTCTGGAACTGGATTATCCTCAACTGTATAGCCGGATCACTGGGAAGGAACCCAACAAGACCTTCAGCATCCTGATTGGTCTGTCTTCCTGACTGTTTGCCTGTTCAGATATTTTCATGTACTGATTATAAATTGATTCTGATCAGCTGTGTATTGCGTGTTCAGACACTGCAGGAGAATCGGGTCTCACTCAGTTCTTGATGTCGGAGCTCAGCCGCCTGCAGAGGGCACTGCAGGATGAGCGGAGGCGCCGCCAGCAGGCCTGCTCTGCTGCCAAGGATCAGGTTGGTTCAGCCACACGGTTACTGAGGAACAGAGCGAGATGGAAATTACACAAAAAACGTAATGTTCAATCGCTGTGTTCTCTCTTGCGCTTGTCTTCAGGAGGTGTGGTCTCGCCAGCAGCAGCTGAAAGACCGTGAGCTGAAAAAGCTGACTGAGCGCGTGCAGAAGGTGCGAGATGAACGGGAGCGGCTGAGTGAGGAGGTCAAGCAGCTCAGAGATCACAACTACAGTCTGATGGCTGACATCAACAGTCTGAACCAGGAGAAGAGCAACGCCCTGCTGGCCAACAGAGATCTGCAGATAGAGGTCAGCTAACGTGTGTCCATCTGACATGCTGCTGACCCGTACAAATCAAATCAAATCAAATCACTTTTATTGTCACATCACATGTGCAGG